GCGCCCGCGGGGCCCGCCGAGCGCCCCAAGACAGGCGGGGCGACGCCACGGCCACGCCGCCCAGCCCCACGCCGGCGACGGCGCGCTCAGCACCGCAGCCCCTCACCACGGGCTCCACGCGCCTTGACACGTGTACCAGCACCAGCCAGAAAATAAAGGTTCATTCTACTGGGYGCCGGCTCTTCCTCCACCCGCAGCTGCGGCCGTGTCCCCTGGGTGCTGCACACGGGCCCTGCGGCTCCTGGGCACGGGGACAAGCGCAGGGGCCGCGGCAGCGACGCGCAGCAGGTTGCAAGTCCTTGTCTCCCACATGGCCACACGCAGCCGGATGGAGCCGCTGTGCCCCGCCCTGTAAGCGGGCAGCGCCGGGGACCCATGTGCCCCTTCTGGCAGCGCCCAGGACCCTGCCACGGGCAGACCCGCRCCCTGCGCCCGGCCACAAGGACGACATGGAGCGGTGCGGAGGTGCGAGGGCTTTACTGGAGGCAGCGTGGGGCCGGGGCCGCAGCACTCCCACCCGCCGGGACTTGGCGCCATCGGCTCTCAGCACCTGGGGCTTTCTGCTGAGCGCGTCATCCTGTCCCGCGAGTGGGTCCTGCGGCGCGGGAGCCCCCGCCCTGCTGCCTAGAGGTCGGGGTGCTGCCCGTCGGCACGCGCGGCGGGCGCCAGGCGGAACTCCTCGGGCACGGGCGCCTCGGGCGTCTCCTTGCGGTAGAAGCCCAGCTCCTGCAGCAGCCGGTTGATGTCCTCCCGCGTCATGTCGCTCAGGGGGATTCTCTGCGGCAGGGGGAGGGCGGCGCGAGTGGGCCAAGCTGTGGGAGCCACAGGAGCCGTGGGCAGCGCTGCCCCTGCCCTCACCTGCAGCTCCTGGTACCTGTCGCTGAGCAGCACGAGCTCGGGCTCGGCGCCGGGCAGGTGCTTCATCTCCAGGTTGTGGCTGGCCGGCGCTAAGGAGGCGGCAGAGCCGGGAATCCCGCCCCATCCCACCCAGTCCCACCCAGTCCCGCAGCCACCAGCGCAGGATACTACAGTGGGATGTCCTGGGTGACGAASGCCTTCACCTGCCGGGACACGGGGCCGCTCAGCTGGGGGGTCCAGGGCAGGGCGACCCCCGTGTCCCCTGCACCCCCTCTATGGGGCAGCTCCCTCCCTGTAATCCTTCCATTGGGCAATGGGGCACCCCCCCCGCACCTCCTACATGGGGCAGCTCCCCCTCCCGCACCCTCCTCCTCAGGACACAGCCCCTCTCCTCAGCACCCACCTCCCTGAAGGGACTGGACCCACCTCCAGCACCCACCTCCCCGG